CTTCGGGGTGTCTGTGCGGCCCTTTGTGGGAGGAGATAGATTTGCAATTAGAAATGTGAAGATGCCACCCGGGCCTGGGAGCCTGACGGGTTTTGCTTTTCAAATGTAAAGGTGACATCTGAAAAAGGAATTGCTTTTATGTTAAGCAGGAAGCGTCCCAGAAAATAGAGGTGGCGGCAATGTCCAGAGTGTGTGAGCTGTGTGTGCGCCCGCTGGCTGCCTTTCCCCTTTGTGTTCATTGAAATGATAGGAAATTGCGGGGCTGGGCTGGGATTACTCTTTCTGAGAAATTCTGCACTCCTTATCATTATGGGGTAACCCAATTTCTTGATCTTTAATTATTCTTGCTGTCAGCTAGAAATTCTGGTGTTTTGTTGCGCCTTCCTTTCTGATCTCTGAATGATGGCAATTAGAAGTGCCATTTTCTGAAATGGCAGCTTTAACTTTGCAATTTTTCCTTTTTTTCCCCCTTTTCCTTCTAGAACAGTGGCAGGCTTCCTGATCCATTATGCTGAGGACAAACCCATAAACACCGAGTGGCAGGTGGTGCCTTACTTACCAGAGGACATTTTGTTTCGCTTTTAATCTTTTTCCAAGAAACACTGTTCTTATTTTGAAGAATTTGGGGGCTGTGGCATTGTTCGGGGACAATGTGTGACGCGGACTCCCTGCCCTCCTGTTTATTGTATCTCGGTTTTCAGGTCCCAGGCGTCTGAAATGTGCCTTCCTGGGGTTCTCTGCAGAAACCCCATGTTCAAAAAACAAGGTCTGCTTTTTATTATTTTTGATAATGCCTATGTTTTTATTAGCTTCACTAAAAACAGAGCTAAGCCTGTTTAACAGCCCCTGGTTGGCAGAACAGAAATGCGGAGGGAAATGTTTTTCCCCCTAGAAGAGCCAAAAAAATTAAAAGTGATCTTTGGTGCAGTTTCCCCCCGGGGGGTTCGATAAAATATGGGGAAATAAGACACGTAAACCGCTTATCACCGAGTCACCGCTTCGCTTTGTGTCTCTTACCGGCGTATCATCCCACTGCTGACTCTTCACTAGTTCGTAGGAAGGCTCCGTTAAATCAAATTTGGGCACAGGGAACCCAGGAATAGCATTGTGCAGATGGAAGCCGAATGTCACCAGCCAGCTGTTAACATCTAGGAGGAGAAAGTGCAGCATGAAAGGTGTTAGAGTTCATTTTGCGCTTTCATACATTCAAATTCGCACTTTAAAGGGAACCCCACGCTCGCAAATAATAACTTGAGAAAGAGCCCAGCTCTGCCCTTCCTCCCACGGTTCAAGCCCTGCCCTCTATTTTTAGACACAGAGACAGTCCCCTCCACAGCCGAGTGATGACAGGGGCGACAGAAAACATTACAGAGGCTCAGGCGGGGTGACGGGTGAGGCTGGCGCGGTCAGCGGGAAAGGGTGGTGGCCGTGTGGTGGCCAGAGGGCGCGCACAGCAGACGAATGAATTCGCTCGCCCTTAGGCTGGTCTGCAAGCGGAGTATGCTATTAGCTCTCAAGAGTGACTGCCCAAGGATACGCAGACTTCCACAACCCACTTTCTATTAATAAACTCCCTAAATGGAGAGTATTCAAATCAACAGTTGCTCCTTAATCAAAGACGAATGCCGAAAGCTGGCAAGACTGGCCACGGGCACCCGAGATGCGATTACCATCAGTGCTGACTTCAAAGGCGCACTGCGCACAGGTGGAGACAAACTTTTTCGGGGGAAAGAACCTGGAAACCTTTAAAACGGTATTTTATAATACGGCCACGTGACTCCAAAAGCCATTAAGCTCCGAATAAGGCTTTTATTCTATTCTGGAGGTTATAATGTTACAGAACTACTCAGCAGGCTTGCAGCTTTATGAGTACAGTTGGGCGTAGATTATTTTATATATTAAGCACATTGCTGGGAAACCTGAAATTGCATTTCACCTAATATATTTATGCCGTTCCATCTCTCTTTTGATGCCTCTCGGAAAATGCTGCTATGGCATTCCCTGCAGCCCGTGTTGCTAGGAGAGCCCGGTCCAGGGGCTGGGGGCTTTCCAGCCTTTCCGTCAGCCTCTGTCAACACCTCTGAAATAACCATGGTGAGCTGCTGTCAGGATGATGGCGGGCCACTTGCTCCCCGCTCCCCTCTCTGGGCCCAGGCTCCCACCTCGCTCCCAGCCGGAAGGCCCCCACATCATGTGGCTGTGAGACCAGTGATACTCTCCCTCCCCTCTCTTAAAGGGGGGCGAGGTGGCAGTGGTGCTGATGCTGGTGGGAGTGGTGATGATCGTAGCCCAAAGCATCCAAAGTGATACATTTTTGACAGTGTATACAGACTTCAAGGGGCCTTCGTAGGTACAAAATTCTTTCTTCTGAGTGGTGGAGGACCGGGACAAAGGTTCTCCTCCTGTGAACAGTGTGTGTGTGACCGAGAACACCCAGGGGTCTTAAGCGCTGGGAAGTGTTGCCAGAGCGTGGGACTCTGATGCTGACGTGTGCTGGGCGGCTGAATGAGGGTGCAGAAAGAAGGGACTCTGTGCGGCTCTGGTGGAGGGGAGATCTGAAAAGTGTTCGCAGTCTGGGAAAGCAGGAGGCAGCTGTGCAATGAGCAGGGGAAAGCGTGTGGAGCGCTGTGCTGAGAACTGAGAAAACAGATTTCTCAGTATGCCTCAGCGACTGAGCAAGATGAGAGACAGCTGGGAGCTGCATCTGACGAGGCCAAACTAAGCGAAACAGAATTCTCCCTGCCCCGTCTCCCCAACTGAAGAGGACCCCACACAAAAAGAGAACAGGAAAGAGCCTTCCTCCAGGAAACACACACACTTGAGAGGTCAGTCATGGCCGTTTAATTCGGGAAGGCAGGTGGAGGCAGATTCCAGAACCCTTGCTTGAGAAAGTGGGAGGAGCCAGCCCCTGGAGGTAACTCTTGTAGGAACGTGGTCTCCGTGGCGCACACCTGGAGCTACTGTGGTGGCAGGAGCGGGATCTGATCTCGCAAAACCAACAGAGCAGCAGGCACTAAGCTTGGAAAGGTCTTCAGTCTACGCCCTGAGAACGCCTTTGATTGGCAGCAAAGCAAGGGCACCCATTAGTGGTGTCACCATGTAAGAACCGCGCTAAATGGCCCCAACGAGCTGGGTGCTTTCCCCCTGAGAGCGGGAACAGGCTCTGCTGGCTCAGCAATTGATGGAGGAAATGGTTCCGTTCTGGCCCTGGGGTGAGGGTGGTGAAGAGAGAGGTAACTAGCTCTCAGGGGCGAGGGGGCGCTCCACAAGACGGGGTTCACACGCAGGCCCCATCACATCTTTACCCGGTATCAAAGGAGGACCCACACTGCACGCGTGGAAGGAGTCACCACTGCGTGCGGAACTGTACCCACGCCAGGGTTCAGTGCCACCAGCGAGGCATCCTCACCCGCTTTATTAAGGCTCCGACTCAAAACGTGGGTGCGACTCGTTCACAGAGCCATGCGGCGTGGAGGAGCCGGGGAAGAACTCTGGCGTGGGGACTCCAACTTCATCCCTTTTCCCGCACCTCCTACGTCACGGCCCTCCAGTGGCTGGATGCTGCGTCCTCTCAGAAGCCCGCAGCCCTGAGCTTGGCAGGCACAACACAAAGGAACAGGCTGTATCTCGGTTTTCCTAGGGGTTTCTTTGTGGCTCTTTCGAGAAATGAATACAGGCAAAAGGCTAGACACTGGGGTCTGCACAAGTTAAATATCCAGTTCTTCTGTGCAGTAATCCAGTGACCAAAGTGACGCGGCCCTCAATGACACCAAAAGATTCCGCTTACCTGTGATGTAGTCTTTCACGTCATGGATCTTGCTTGCGGGATTGTTATTCCTAAACATATACAGATTAAAAGGAGCTGGGTCCTTCCCAATTCTTTTCCAGATTTCTATGTCAGGCGTAGTCCAGCGTCCTGCCAAAATGTCATAGTCTCTTTCTCCGAAGTGGATTAACTTTGTGAGTGGGTCGTACAAGCCCCCGTGAAATCCAATGACCAGCTGAAAGTCGATATTGGAGTCAAAGTAGATCTCCCCGTAGGCGGTGTACTGGATCTGCTTCAGCATAAGTCCGTTGCTGCTGAACACGGCCAAGGGCGTCCCGGTGTTGTCGGACGCGATGTAGAACTCGTCTCCACTGCTGATCTCCATGGCGAAAAGGTGTCCCTGGAGGTCGTAGTAGAGAGAGGTGATTTCCGAGCTGGAGTGGTTGTAGACGTGCGTAATCCTGGTGGGGTACGTGAGGTCGGCGTAGAAGAACTGCAGGTGCTGCCCCAGACTGGTCTTGGTGGACACGCGCCTGCCCAGCCCGTCGTAGCGGTAGATGACCGTCCAGCCGCTGCCTTTGCTGTACACGCGGGTGAGCAGCCCCTTGGAGCTGTACTCGAAGATCTCGGTGCCCCTCTGCCGCAGGAAGCCGTCCTCGTCCAGCCGGTACTGGACGTCGCCCAGCCGCGTGATTCGGTCCCGGAGGTCGTAGCGGAGGGGCGTGAGGCGCGCGCTGTTGCTGGGGTTCAGCAGGTGGAGGTTCCCGTTCAGGTCGTAGTTGTAGCGCCACATGATCTTCTCGTTCAGATAGACGGTCTGCAGCTGCCCGTCCACGTCATACTCGTAGCCGTACTTGGTGGTGTTGGCAAAGGGCCCTATTTTGATCTCCCGCTTGGTCACCCGGCCCATGTTATCGTACTGGATGGTAATCCAGTACATGAGGGACCTGAATATCTCGTACTGGATCTCCTTGATGCGGCCGTGGGCGTCGAAGTGCTTGGTGTACGTCATCACGGCGGTGGAGATGATCTGGTTGATGTCGTAGTAGATGACGCCAAACTTGCCAAACTGCTCCACCTTGCCCGAGATGTCGTCGAACTGATAGAGGTCGATGGGCAGCGGCGTTTCGTTGATGACGCCCTGCATGCTGGTCACGCGGAAGCTGTTGTCGTAGCTGTAGTCAAACCTGGCGTTCACCATCCCGTCCTCGCTGAAGCGGAAGATCTGCCGGTCGACGAGCGGCCCGATCTGCCGGTAGCGGATGGTGCAGATGAAGCCGTCGCTCTGGAGGTTGACGGTCTTCAGGACGCCGGCCGTCTCGTCGTAGGTGAAGCTGACCCGCGTGCTGTCGTACAGAATCTCCGAGAGCCTGGTCTGCCGTCTGTACTTGAACAAGACCCTGCGGCTGGTCCCCAGGAACGCGGTCTGCAGCAGAAGCCCCTCCTCGCTGTAGTCGGTGATGACCGAGGCGTTGCTCTCCGGGGGGTTGTAGATGTTCCGGTAGTAGCCGACCGAGCGGATGGTCTGCATGGTGTGGCGCGCCACGCTGGGCATGGTGATGGCCGACAGCCGGTCCCACATGTCATACTCGAAGATGTACTGGCGCTGGCTGTGCAGCAGGAGCACCATGGACTGTGGAGAGAACACAGGCTGTTAGCCGGGGCGGGCCGGCGCCCACACCCGTCAGTGCCCGCCACCCACATCCCGCTGGAGAAAGCAATTTCGTTTTTATAAAAAGATGTATTTACGTATGCACACAGAACGGGGGTACAGGCCAGAGGTGCAAGGGCAGTGAGAGGCTTCACCAGAGACAGAGCGGGGAGCAGAACAGGCTGACTGATGAGTTCACTGTGGAGGGGCGCAGCGGGGAGACAGGAGAGCACCGTGGGGCGCAGCACATGGCGGGGACCGAACTGGCACTGAGTGGCTGCGGCCGGCGTGCAGAGCTGCGCTTCCACCCTCTGCGCCACCAGGGAGGGCCGAAAACGGCCTCGTTAATGGAGCTATCCTTGGCCTTCCGCGTCGTTCCCGAGTCCCCGCCCAAGTTGTCTGGACGCGGCATGTGGGGGTGCGGCCATCGGCGGCCCCACATTCACAGCGGCCTGAGGTCCGCGGCCCGCTCTCTTCCCAGGCTGCCCAGCCCCGTGCAGACTGGCAACGGGCGTGGCCGACGCGCAGCCCAGGCCTGGGCGGAGGCGGTGGCCAGACAGTAATTCAAGGAGAATGCAGTGGGACCCTAGTTAGCAATTATTTGGGAAGGTGGCCCCCCCCCCGCCCCCATCTGAATGAAGAGCCACTCAGATCATGTTTTAATTTCCAGGGCATTGTGGGGAGGGGCATTCAGAGTATCATTTTAGGAAGAAGAGACTCAAGGTTAGGCCAGAGTGGGCCCTGCGTACAGACAGCGTGGACAGCAGCAAGCACTGCTGCGTTAACCATGGCGAACGCCGCCGCCGGCCCCCAGGCTCATGCATCCAGATGTGGGCGGTGGGATTTTTTTTTTTAAATTCCTATATGGCCTCTGTAATGACAATACAGATCTTTATTTTTCCCTTTCCTTTGGTGAGCACCAAATCTGATCTGTCCCCCAGGGGCTGGGAGGGCGACTTCTGGGCTGGCATATCCCTTGGTACCAGATTATGAAGTGAACAGACACGTAAATAAACTCGGCTTATTTTGCAAGTAATTGTGGAAAGACAAAAGGCATTCATTTATCAGGCCAACGTGAGAGAAGTCGGCCCCGGGGCTGGTTAAGTGGAGCTCAGAAGTAATTCCGGGGGTGTGGGGGGTTCTTTCCTCTGAGAACGCTTCCTCTAAATCCTGTTAGGCCAAATGGAATGAGAGCTGGGAGGACTGTTGGGTCAGGAGTCCTCCTGGGCCGAATTCTGTGCTTTTAGCATAGGAACGCATAATCCCCCGTCCAAGACTCAGGCTTTTTCTCTTTTTCTCTTTACTGTCCATCTTCAAAAGCGGTTTGCAAGACTCAGGCTCGCGGACGAGTTCCTCTGTGGGCCTATCCAGGGGCGATTTTTCTAGGCAGCCCGTGTAGTAATTGTCTCGAGAGCTGTTCTTAATAGTTTGCCTTCTTCCAAGAAAAGCTCGGGCTGTTGCTGAATTCACAGGGATTAGCACCTAGTTTTGCAATCATTTAAAATTCTAGCTCGTGGTCCTTACTAACTCTGACGGGGGCTGCTCTGAGCAGGTTCCCTGCTTGTCGCGTGGGGACCTGGGAAGTGTCAGGGTGGACGCTGGGGCGTGGCAGGCAGGAGGCGCAGTGGCTGGCTCTGCTGAGCCCCGTGGCTGTGCCGAGGGTATGTCGGGTGCCTCATCAGTGCCATGCTTCTCCTGGGCTCCTCTCAGGCACGTTTCGGTCACGCTGTGATCACTACTGCCGCCTTCGCGGATCTGGGCAGCCCGCCCCTACCACCCCCTTCACCTTCTCCATCTCCCTTCCCTGAACCTGGGTTGGGTGGTCCGTGTGCGTTCATTGTTAGTTACCGGCTTTCTCTGTTCATCTGAGCTGCTTCCTTGTATTACACCTGTAGGTGAAATCTGTCTCGTCTTTCTGGCTTACTCCAGATGGGCGAGAACCCAGCTCCTCCCCTCCGGCTGTGAATGGCAGCTTTCCGTCTTCACCGTGGAGGAACAGTCCGTCACTGTGGGCAGACCACATCTCCTGACCCAGCCTCTCCACGGGCATCGAGGTCACCTTCACCTCCTGGCTAGTTATTTATATTTCTCTTACTCTTCTCGTGATAGCCTTAGTTTAATTGGGCAAGTCCCGGAGCAGAGCAGTGACCCACTCTCACGTTCCCTGGGGAGAAGCTGCTTAGGGGCTTCGGAGGCTGACGGCGAGGCGGTCCCCGCTTGTCAGGACTCGCTCCCAGCGTGCTCCCTCTGTGATCGATCGCCCAGTAAGTAACTACCCCAGTGATGCCCTGAGAGCAGGCTGATCACCCAGGAGGGCAACTGTGACCGTGGGGGGGGGTCCACAGAGTCCAGGGCGGGTCCCCCAGAAGTAGAGGTCAGCAAGCAATGCTTGGCGGTGGAAACGCTGCCTCTCTCGCCCAGGCGGAGGCCGCCTGATCCGGGCGACGCCCTACAGTGACCTCTGAACGCGGAGGCAGTTCTCAGGGAGCGTGGTCTGTGTACGGGATTTCCAGCACTAGATGAAAGAACATTGTGCAGGGCGCTGGGAACGGACCAGGGCTAGGCAGAACACGGTGGACAGCGAGTCTGAGCCGGGAAGCACAGCAGTGACATGGGCGGGATCTGGGGAAGGCGAAGGGGTTCTGTGTAGGGCAAGTCTCAGGAGGGCACTGGCTGTGAGGAGCTCAGTTTGTGTCTGAGGCTGAGATTCGGCAGCGGGACGCGCTGAGGGCTGACAGGTGTCAGAACTCAAAGGGAAGCAAGGTTCCTTTTAAAGAGACTTTATTTGCTTTTGCGTAGAAGCACCGGGGTGCAGGCCAGAGGTGTGTGGGCAGTGGGGCGGTGAGAGGGTTCCCCAGAGACAGAGTGGGGAGCGGAACGGGCGGATCTACCGAAACCCACTGCTGGGGGGCGTAGCGGGGAGACAGGCGAGGTCTGCTGCGCCCTGGGGGCCACTCCCTGGTTTGGACAGAGCTCTGGCCTTCCAGGTGGGTCTGTCGGTGGTAATGCTGAGCCTCGGCTCCTGGGGCACCAAGGAGGCTCCGGAAGTCATTTGCTAGAGTTAAACGTCTAAAAGGTAAAGGAAACATTCCAGGAGCAGGCTCATAGGGGGACTCCATTTAAAGAAGGGAATGCTGGGGTGTTCATCCGTGTCATCTTCTCCTCCTCTTTTTTGTTGTTACTTCCATTCCCTCTGGACGCCGGCCATCACTCTGCACCTCACCCGGAAAAGCTTAGCAGGACGTCCCTGTGTCTTCCATTTAATTTTTTGGACGCCACACCACTCTGAAGGGGGGGGGGGAGACACCCAAGCTAGGCTGTGTCCCTGTACCTGGGGAACAAAGGAGAGTCGGCACGTTCCAGAGTCCCTGAAAGGTGGCTTTCTGGAAAACAGCCTCTTTCGGTTAATCGCGCATAAACAGGATCTACTTGCTTTTCACCGCTATGTTGAAACGCTGCCAGCCCGAACCAGAACTGACGGCCTTGACTGCTCGCGGACGGTTCGCCCCTAAATGAAAGCGCTGGCCGGGAGATTATTTACAAATGACGTACACGCGCAGGGCCTAATTTGTGAATGTTGTGGATGTCTAAACTTGGCAGGTGGACAGTGTCACTGCTTGTTTGTTTACAGCATAAATCACTTAAAACGGTCTCGGGCAGTAGAACTTAACTAAGGAGAAACTACTGGCTAATGTGCAAATTCATCATCATGGTGCCACCAGGACTTCTATACGGAGCCTTGGAATAACAGATGAGATTCTGCCGCATGCCCATCCCCCAGCCGAGTGACTGCTGAGGCATCCTGCTCACTGCTTCCCTATTTTTTTTTTAAACAGGAAAAAGCCTTATTTACTTATTTTACTTAATCTTGAATTGAGGTACCCCTAGGACCCCGCATCGGGCATCACCGCCACAGCCCACCCAGCACCCAACGACCCCGGTCTCACCCCCATTCTGCTCCCTCCCCTGCTCACTCCCTCATTTCCCCCATGCCTGTTTTGAGGCTCAGGCACACACCTACCTTTTCTAAGTACGTGTAACTCCAGGTTTTCCCATCGGCGAAGACCCGGGACACAATCCTGCCCTGGCTGTCATAATCCACTTTCTCGCTGGTGGTTCCCCGCTGGACGCTGCCGATCTGACCGGTGGATGAGTAGGTGACATTGACGGCCATCAGCTTGCTGCTGGGCAGCCAGAGCGTGGGGTGGCCCGACGTGTCGTAGGCAATCCTCAGCAGAAACTTACGGTGGTCGTCATAGATCTTCTCCGTCTTTGTTGTTCGATCAAAGTCAACCGAAAGGAGGTTTCTGCCGTTCACCTGCAAGAGACCACGCAGCACACCCTGTTAGTCCAGGACCAGCCCCTGGTTACCCTGTGGGCCCCCCCCCCATTGTTTGTACACCCTTTATGATGATTGATTCTCTTTGCCAGTAAATTAATTTAGCAACTTCTTGGGTACACGTGCAAGGCAGTAGATTAACTGCTCTTTTAAAAGGTTTCATTAAGCAGAAAGACAGCCTGGCATTTGTTCAGAACCTTTTCAATTAAATATTGTAAACTTAAGCAACTGATAAGGAGAATCCCAAAATGGACTGGCTTTACCGTCTGAACACACCAGGGTGGTGAGCACGGCGCCTCTGTAAATTAATCCAAGCCCCTCCCCTCCTAAGACATCGGCAAAGAACTGCGTGGTAGATTAATCGTGGCGACATTAAATAAAACAGTGCTAAACGGGACTGCAGCCCTTCGAAGAGCAGTTAAGTAGAAGTTGGAACCCGTGTTACTGTAAATTATTAACGAGCTCAAATGGCAGGAGGTTACAAACACACTCACTGCTTTTGGCCAATTGCTGAAATGTCACCATTTTTAGAACGCCTTTTCGTTTGACAACTTCTGGGTAACTGTCGGGGACTCCAGATCTTTTACCAGCGCATCTCCATGGTCAGCCGACTGTGCTGACTTGACAAATCTAGCACCATCTTGCCGTAGGGGGGTCTCGGCGTGGCTCGGAGCCCTGTCCAGAAGCTGTGATTACATTTGGCTTAACCACCTTGATCCAAGGCAGGCCCGGCCTGCAACGGGGTCCTCACTCACTTCTGCCTCACAGACATCCTGAGCGTGTGGGCCCCCCAGGAGCGAGATGGGGTCCTGTCATTTCTCCAGCCTCCTCCAGCATCCTCGTGGGGGTGGGACCTGGACCCCTGCGAAAGCTTCTTAACTACTGGTTGCTAAAACCCCACATGACATGTCCTTAATGGGTTGCCCTGGCCGATCAGTTTTAATCTCTCCACCTCTCCCAAACCACATCTCAGTGTATGTGTATATATCCGTGTGTATGTGCATAATTTAATGTCCAGACATGTAGAATCTGGGTCAAACCAAGCTTTGCATCCTATCAACACTAAATTAGTTTCAAGGAGAAAGTCTTCTTTAGCTCAAACTCTCCCCTTTCATTGCTCCAGGAGAATACTGTGAATTTGAAGACAGCTGAAAAAAAGTTCCTATTTATCATATTCCGATCTTATGGCCAAAGAGAGGCCGCAGGCACCAAGGCACTCAGGCAGAGCAGGAGCGAGCCCTGGGGTGCGTGTGCAGGCGAGGGGAGGGCCACGCAGTCACGCAGAACGCGGGCGGGTGTGGGGAGGTGGCGTGTGTGCTGGGCCCGGAACTCAGGGGTCAGAAAGTCTGACCCCCTCGCCGACAGACCTAGAAGCAGGAGGCTGGGCTTTTAACTCGCCAGGACCTGTTTTGTTCATCTGTAAGTGCAGAGCTTGCCGGAGCCTTCAGGGGCCTCTGGCGCTGACTTTGACGTGATCCGGCCGACCCGGGGTGAACTTTGGGCTTTCCCCGCGGAAGCGCCTGCAGTGACTTGCTCCCGCCTGCCACGAATTTCGTGACTTTCTGAGTTACGGCTTGCAGAACGCTTTGCATTCCCTGGGTTGAAGCCGCCAGTGAGTACTGCAAATATCCGTCTTCAGGTCTGTGGAAAGCTTTGACTTGTTATCAAATTAACTTGGTGCTGTACTTGCGGAATCCAGTTCTTCAGCACAAAATATTTTGGATGCTGTAGGAAGAGGATTTGCACCATTTAAATGGCTTTCTAGGGCTCTTGTGTTTCCCGGCATGTGACTTAAGAGGAAAGAAAAGAAAGCCCTGGTTGCCTGGGCGTGCCCTCTTTTTTCCTTCCTTAGCCCGTTCCTGGCTGCAAAGTAAGCGGCAAGATGAAGGTGGGGTGTGGGTCCACGCTCGGCAGGTCCATCTGCTTGTATGTGACTTCGTAGTCATTTTGATTTGTATTTCAATTCTTTATGGCTTTCCTTAATCCTCTTGTATCTTTGCAGTATTTCCTCTGGTTAGAGCCTAAGAAATCTGGGTTACAGTGCTGGTGTGATTATTTGCTTACCAAAGGGAAAAGACGCCCCCTCTCTTTCCTGCCTGTACCCCAGGACCACACTCCCGACTGTGTCTTTGATCTGTGGGCGCGCTACACAACTCCAGAGCATCCAGGTGAAAATCAAGCGGTGCATCCGGTGCCACTGTGCGAGCCGCTGTGTCACAGGCACTGCCGTGGAGTCATCCCGAAGCACTGAGAGACCAGACATCTGGGTAGAGGTTTAAGTTGTCCTTTACATCCGACAAACAGCACAGGCGATTGCCTCGCTTGTCTTCCCAGGCTGAATAACGAAGAAGGAATCTGAACGTGGCTGTGCTTTGCCCACAAGCTCCACACAAATCAACATTTTAAATCATTGCGACGATTCCAGACCCCAGTCACTGCTGTTCAGTACGTCCAGTTCCAAAGGACACCAACAGCTCTCTTGTTTTCTTCAATCTTCCCAAACACAACCTCCTCTGGTCACTGCACACAAAGTGCAGAAAAGAAGGGGCTTCCCTCCCCCCCGCTCCCATGGGGAGTCACAGCAACTACAATTTGTTGGTCTTTGAGTACCCATAAAGCATCCACCGTGTTCCAGCCGCCTTGTAATACATTTTTTAAAAAAGATTTATTTCTGCATACAGAACTGGGGTACAGGCCAGAGTGCAGGGGCAGTGACAGTGAGAGGCTTCACCAGAGACAGAGTGGGGTGCAGAACAGGTAGATCGACGAAGTACACGGCTAAGGGAGCAGCGGGTGGGTCAGGAGAGGTCTGCCGCGCCCTGTGGGTCACCTCCGGGGCGGGGATCAAACTCGCACTGAAGCAGCTACAGCTCTCTTGCAGTGCTGTGTTCTAACCCATTGCGCCACTAGGAAGGGCCCGTAATACATATTTTAATAGAAAAAGCGCAAGTGAAATCAGATAGTTCATCTACCATGAAATCGCTCTCTCAGATCCTTCCTGTACCTTGGCCACGTAAGAACCCACCGCAGGCTGGCGGATCAGGGGTCCCCATGAATTTCCTCAGGGGTTCAGCCTATCTTTTCAGTGAGCTTGGAGGATGCTCGTGTTCTGGGACCACACCAGGGTGCTGGCCACAAAATCACGACGTGACTCTGGGGCAGGAGCGGGTAGTTAACCCTGTGTCCTCTGGGACGCATGCGAAACCGAGGCCGACACGGAAACAAGTCTGGATGCGGACAGACCTCGAGCGCAGTTGGCTCAGGCTGGCTCTGTGGGCTGCTGCGTGGGATGCGAGGCCTGGCTCATTCCCCAGCACGCTTGGTGGCGTCACGACTCCCGTCTGTCCCCGCGAGAACATCAACGCGCCCCAGATTGTTTGTCTCTCTCCACACGCCGGCAAGTGCTAACTGCATCCGACGATCCCACCGTGGGCTATGCCACTCAGATTAAAGTGAGAAATAGGAGGTGGCAAATGTGACTGGCATAATAAGGTTTAAATATGCGATCATATTTATGTATGCCTCTAAACACACTCTGGTTTTCCGATTTCCAGAATTTCTCTATAAATTATTCACTCATTTTTTTCCCTTCAAGCCCCTGAACCCTGGGCAAGCTCAAACGATGAAGTTTATTGCTAGGATGTCTTAACAATTTTTGGTAATTGATTGAGGTCTAGTTCCAAAGTCGGACTAGTTAACAAATACACAAATATTCTAAGACAAAGACAAGCAACTAGGATGCTTTTTTTTTTTTTTTTTCTAAATGTGGCTATAAACAAGTGAGCAACAGAGCTGTCTTATCTTCCCGTGTCTGGGCTTTCCCACATCACAGTGAAATTTGCTCTCGAAATTTCATTTCCTACCGACGCCACCCACGCCCCGTTAAAGCATCATTTCTCCGAAAATGCTTTCCACGTCGCTCATCTCTTCTGTAATTTTCCCGCTTTTATTCCTTGTCTTTTTTTTTTTTTTCTTTTAAAACTATGCTCTCTAGGGTTACACCTGTTATGTCAGCGTAATCCATTACAGGGAGTGCTGGGTTTGTTCACGGCAGTCAGACATTTGCAGGGACGTGGTCCTTCCTCTACTCCCTCTCAGCAAGCTCTTGGTGCACCGAAGTAACCCTTGGTGTCAGGCTGGCGTTTCCTTCTTTTCTCATTCCTTGGATAAATACTGGAGTGTCTACCTTGCGTTAAGCACAGAGCTGAATTTAGGTCAGTAACTTAAAAATAAAACGAACTTTCTGGTAGGAAACAATGAAACTTAAGCGAGAAGACGGCTGTTTCCGGAAAGGGGGCCGTGAGCGGTGACCTCCGGGCTGTGTGTGGGTCCCCTGTCTCTGGCTCGCTCCTCCTTCCCCGCCGCCCTGTTTTGGCAGAGTCCAGGTTCAGTCCTTGAACCACATTTTCGCGTCGTCACTTTCTCCCTAGAATTTCTCTCTCAGAATCCACAGAGGAATGAAATTAGCAGTCAGAGCTGGCACATCCAATCTTATCTTGAAAGTAAGAAGCCCTCCCTTGTGATCCTGGCATTGTCTCTGGGAGAGCAATCACACAGAGCAGCTGGAAATCGCCTTCAGTGTGACTGAGCAGGCCATTCACAACAGTGTATTTTCTGAAATGTCTCTCTGAGGCCTGTGGCTCTGCTATTTAGAAAGAAGCTCACACTCAGGACAGACTCTGCTCTAGTTCTGCTCTCCAGAGCGAGGTGCCGGGTCCCCTCCCTTATCCCAGGGCTATGTCCCAGAACCTCCCCACCCCCAGATCAGGTACAGTCCCCGAAACCATGGACAGGACCAAGCCCATACAGGTGTGCTTTTTCCTGCTCGCACACACCTACCTACTGTGAAGCTGAACTTAAACCTGAGGCTTCACAGCGCGAGACAAACCACAACAATCTGAGATAGGGTGGAGCAGTTACACCAACACCAAGAACAGGCGAAGGCGGCGCTCCCCACCCCCCCACCGCCACACACCAAGGACACGTGAAGGCAGCGCCTCCTCCCCTCCCCCCACTCTCTAGGCGACCTGTTGTGCATGTTACTTTTGGACCCTTATTTCAGCTCCCTGTGAAGAGTGAAATCATGGCTCATGTGCTATACACTGTATCTGTTGTGTATATAACAGGTGTGTTATGCATCTATTTGCTCAAACACCTTCATGTATGGACTTGGGGGCATTATGCAACGTGAAACGAGTCAGAGAAAGACAAGTACCATGTAATCTCATTGGATGTGGAATCAGCGAGGACAGCAGCAAAAACCTTTGATCACAAATAGAGAGAACTGACTGGTGTTTGCCAGAGGCGGGCGGGGGTGTGGGCAGAATGGGTGCAGGTAGCTCAAAGAATTCCAGGTAAGAATAACTCCCACTGGGTGTATGACGCACAGCACAGTGGCTAATACTCTGGATCTAAACAGAGCTGGTTGACTAGATCTTTAAACAATTCATTAGTAGGGAAACCATTTGTAACTATGAATGGTGACGGGCATGACCTAGACATTTGGTGATCATCTCGAAATGGAGCCAAATACCCAACGATGATGATGTACATCTGAAACTAACATTCTATGTCAAGTATACCTTAATTTAAAAATACTGAGAGCCTGATCTTGAGTCTATAGTTCAATTCTGGTTCAGTATTGTCTCCTTTGATATACAGAAAAAAGAAGCATAAGTGTAGACAATATCGCTGTGTCTTTGATGAAGTGAATGTTGTGTCTGAGAATAGCTGTGGTATGTGTGTGTGTGAGAGATGCCTACTTTAGGGAGAGTAGGTAGATAAGACAGAATCTGTGACCTGGCTCTGGTTTGCGCTGACCCAGGGCAGGGGAAAGTGGAGGCAGCAGACAGGACACAGCAGCTCTCGAGTCTGAGGCTCGGCAGAAGAAAAGGCAGGCGCTGGAGTTACTCTGGCATGGGACAAGGCGCGGTGCAAGCATCTCTGGCAGTCTGGGCTTGCTTCTCTTGCCCATCACTTCACCTTCACCCCTGACCTCTTCTTTCTACTGTTTTTTTCTGCTTGCTCCGCTCACTAACCTCACTGACCCGCCTCCCCAGCTCCTGCCTCCGGAAGTCCTGATCCAGGGGCTCTGGAGCTGGGTGTCCTGTCACCCCAAGACACGGGGCAGGTGGGAGCAGACAGCCCTGGTGCCGTAGAACATGATTTTGGGCCCACTGAAGTGGCATCAGACCACAACCTGCAGGCTGGATACAGTCTGTATTTGCTCCCAGCTTGTTTTTTCCACTTTATGCCTATTTCCTGGAAACAGCCAACATCAGCATGGGGTAACCGTCTCTTACCCAGAAGGATGGCCAAGGTAAATGGTGTTGGCCTGTGAGAAGAATAATTGTCTATTTTTTTGTTGCAGAAAAAAGATGCTGATGGTAAATCCTGTTTTGTTCTCTCTTGACTTTAAGGAAATATCTTCTTAGCAGTCAGGAAAGTAATGTTAGGGTTGGTTATTATTACACTTATCTGATAAACTAAAGTCTGTTTACTAACAGAATATATCAGGTTGAATTTATAGTGCTCTGAAAGTGTTTTATCACCTGTGTTTTTAGCACTTAATCCATGTCTTTACCAAAGGGCTGTCATAAATCACAAATCCCAGCTTACTTTCTAAGATATGTGTGGCTCACAACAGGAGAGGGAGGAAACCAACATCGAATAAGGCAACACAGGGGACATTTTGCAAAGATCAGTGATAACCAGCAGAACCAGAAGCATCATCGCATTTCATATAAAAATAAACACACTTGGCTCTTCCCATCGCAGTGAAGAGGTTCTGAACTTGCTATTCTTCTATGTGCTGAAATTGTTCTCTCAAAACCAAGGGAAAACCCCTTTCAGTGAATGTGCCCTTCTCTTTCAACAGGCATATCGATGCCTTGGAAAGCATTTCCTACTTAGCTCCCCCTCCTCATGAGGGAGCCCCCATTCCTAACTGAGGGGAGAAAGGAAGTGTCTGATTAGTAAGATATTGGTGAACAAGAATGCACAAACAGCTGGGCTGTTTGGGACTGTGCAGCTATGACTTCCTTATTCCCCAGGGGAGATGTTACTCTTAATCACAGATATGCTGGAGAAGGCGTCTTCTCACGTAACCGGCTCCTATCTGGGCGAGCCAGTGGCTTGACAGCTGGGTCTACGCTCGCTGTGAGCCACGGGCCTGGGGGCGCCAGGCGGGGGATGGGCAGACCAGTCACCCACCAGGAGCAGCACAGTCCCAACTCACTCACCCGCAGCTTCCGGCCGAAGACGTTGACTTTTCCTTGCGCTTGCTCTTTCCGGAATCTCCATTCTACCAGATTTTGGCCATTCTCACCAGGTAGCGTCATGTTCCTCTTGGCGACGGTTGGGTTGGCAGTGCCAGCCAGCACGTGGGGCTCCGTCTGGTAGTGGGAGTCCAGGCCGCTGGCGTAGATGATCCGCAGGGAGCCGTCAAAACCAATCTGGTAGCTGTTTCTTAACTGATCTAAAAACCAAGCAGCAGAAAATGTAGCGAAAAGATGATCACGTAGAGGTTTGGTGGGCTGTGCAGTGCAAAACCATCTAAGATAATAGATTTATTTATGCATCCAAGAGCTGGGGTGCAGACCAGAGGTGCAGGGGGTGAGAGGATTCACCAGAGACAGAATGGGGAGCGGAATGGGGGGTGTCTGTGGAAATACTCTGCTGAGGGGAGCAGCGGGCGGGTCAGGAGGGGTCTGCCGCGCCACGTGGGTCAGTGTCCTGGCCGGATCGAACTTAGGCCACGGTGTGATAGCACTGAGACTTAACCCCTAGGCTGCCGGGGAGGCCCCATATAAATTCTTGCAATGTTGGCCGAGCTGCCGATGTAAGCAAATACAAAATACTTCATGATGTGCTTTTAGGCACCAATAAGACAGTGACTTCTGGCATTTCATGCTGAATTAGGTTTAAATGAATATTAAAGGCAAACTTTAGGGGACTTTAAAGGCCATCATTTCAATCGATTTTTTTCTCATTTTACTGAATACAAGAGGGTTCGCCCTCCACGGAATGAGCTGTCTTGCAGTATACCACCTATATGTACCACTTCCCATCCCTGGAGGTCTTAGAAGACACGCCTCCTGCACCCATCCTGATACCCTTTGTCCACGATGCTTTGAAAAGATTTAATTCTGTGTTGATTTAATTCTGTGTCTTATATACCAAGACCGTAAGGAGAGACTCCCCTTGAAATCGACACTTAAAAACAGGAACCACTTTAAGTTCTGTATCAAAAATCTCCTCTGTTTGTCGGCTCCTACGGCAATTGACTTTGTCTGAACACTGCAGGACCATTTGGGGAAGAAACGAATTCAAGACACACTAGTTGGCGTTCACAGTGCCGATTATGTGACATAACCGGGAACAGAAAAGAAGTCACAGGAGTTGAGCGCAGATGTAGTCATTCTTCTGAGTGCTGAGCCCTCGCTGCTGCAAACAGGCTTTTTCAAGATGATTTCAAAAGGAAATCTGGTGGGAGGTCCCCTCAGGGACAGCTGGGATGTGTGTGCGTCTCCAGACGGAGTGGGGAAATGTAGACCAGGCATTAAATGAAGGGTGCCTGGCATTGGGGCACAAACACTCCAGTGAGCGATCCTCAAACCGCTGTATCAGCAGGCAGCCGAGCTGGTGTGCTTGGGGGAACTCTGGAAGGTGACTCCAAAGAGTCTGATTATGTGTATTTGAGAAGCTGGAGTCAGGCTGTTTTATAAGTGGGAGTGGAAAAAGGCTACTTCTAGGTTTACCTGTTAGTTTATATGTGATTAAAAAATATATATGTATATACATATGTATCAAATTACATGTAGGTATTAGACTATGTCATCAGCCTCTCCACAGCCTTTCATTCCGCTTTCCCTTGTCTGCTTCATCTTAGCCATCAGAGGTCACCACATTCTCTTTGGGGCCAGGGGTGTTTTTAAGTTATTCGTGTAACATCATTCTTTTACCTTGAACCATGGTGTAGAAAGAATCAATTGAGGACAGATTTGAAGTGATGCTGACGTCCTCTTCTCGGCTGGATGACTCGATGTCCACCGTGATGGCCTTGTCCATGTCCCCATGAAGATTTGTCACCACTCCAGTTGGGAAGGTGACATTTGTGAGGCGCCCTTCGCTGTCATAGCTGAAAGGAAGAGACAGGCACTGGTGTTAGGGAGCACACGGCAGGCACCCAGTGATCACATGCAGCAGTATTAGCTGCACGAGTCTGGAAGGATGCCTTTGTGCATGAGCTATGCAGAGGACTTCACACGTGCTTTGAAGTAATCAAAAGCCTGTAACAGAAAAACCTCACCGGTGAGAGCAAAAGTAAACAGAATAGCTTTCCATTTCAGTATATTATTTCTTGAAATGGGTCCAAAATCCCCCTATCCAACTAACCTAATTCGCTGCTCCAAAGGGCACGTGTTTGCTGATGTTAAATTCCTCAGTATTCTCTCCCCCTTTTCTACAATAAAGTCAGTTCACCTTTGCACCCATGCTTAATTTGACTAACTTATGCCCTCCTACTAGTACAATGGGAGAGAAAAAAATATATATAGGACTTTAGGAAAGCGTGAATGCATGCACATGCATGTATTTGCATTGTAAAAGCAAGCCTAAGTATCTTCAGACACCTTTAACAAATCAGTAAGGTAAAAGCCTCTAAAGATTTTCTGTTTCTCAGTGATTGAAACGCTTCGTAATGGTAGACTGCGGTGTAAATGTAGGCGATGTGATGTAGGCGATGTGATAACCTGTCTTGGCTGTATCAGCGTCGTAGGGACAGTGATTTCTGGAAGATGGTTTATGTTGATTGAAATAAGATGTGCTACTTCCTGATATTTAATGAGTATTTGTTTTTGCAAAATACACTCACTTTTTAAAAAACATCCTTAGAAGAAGAACTTATAATTAAGCCTTGGGAACTGAAACGGTGTTCTGTAAGGATGAACATGCATTAAAAGCACAATTTTACTAAGCAATTTCTTGGCGACTTTTATTTTATGATCTGAAGACAGGAAAAAGCAGCAAATTCTGGTTTGAAAGTTATGGACTTCCTTGGAACAATAATACACGTAAGACGGGATTTCAGATCGGCACTAAGATGGCCTCATTACTAAAAGGTTTATGTGGAGAAAGCCTTCAATGAAATCCTACTTCAAATTAGCACAGAAGCAGAACCATAGCGAAAAAACACCCTATTAGTGCAGACAGAAGTTACCAGGGCCAGGGAAAGAGTAGAGAGGTTCATGACGATAGGTGTAACTACAGTCTACAAGGCATGAAGGAGCAGGTGGAAATTTTTAATGATATTTTGGAATGAAAGGACACGAGGCATGTAGAGTGGAAAACTTGGCTTTGAACAATGTGCTGGTCAGAAGGAGATCACGGAACAAAGGTAGCCCTTCCGCACAGTCCAGGTGCCGGCAGAAACAGGCGGGAAGGAAGCACGTGCAGTGACCAGGCCCGCTCTGAGCTCGGCTGTGGGCCGTCCCATCCGTTCAGTGGGGACAGTATCAGTCAGGGTTTGACTGACGTTACCGGATGACGTGCCAGCCTGTGTGACGAGCTGCAGGAATGGGCACTCGGGGGTGAAGCGAGTGGTAGAGCAACGCAGAGCAAGACAACGCAGCAATAAGCGGCACCACTGTATGGACCCACAACATGCAGAGTCGGCGCCAGAAAGCAGAACCCTCCCCCGCAGCAGCGCAAATGCCCACTGCAGATGAAGGCATCAGTGACAGAAGCCACCACGCTGATGGCTGTCCAAGAAACAAGCACGCCAGGGCTCACGCACACAACAAAGCTGGCTACGGGATGCCTGCCAGGCGATTCGATAATTACTCAGTAATAAACATTCAATAACAGATAATTATTGAGCCTGGCGCCGGAGCTCCCCTTGGCTTGCTTCTCGGGTGGCTTACATCTCCCACAGCCTGACAGGATGAACCTGCTTAGTGTGTTGCAGGAATTAGCATGCCTCCGGACGGTTCTATATAAAGGGGAGTGGTCTCCGCCACCCCCATTTTACAGGTGGAAGAGTGAAGGTGTGAGGTGGTCAGGGGACTTGACCAGACCGTGCTCCCTGCTGCCTGGTTACAGACTCTCACTACCTCTCCTTCCAGCCACAACGGGAACTTCCAGGCCGGACCTCAGGCCGTTAGCCCCCTGTAATCACCGTGCTGGCCTGAAGTGGCTGTGATGACAGCTTCTATAGATGACCCCTGCAGGCCCCGTACCGAGTCCTCCTCACTGCCGCCTCCCCCTGCCTCTTTCCCTCCCTTTCGCTGGTGTCTGTTTTCTAGCACTGTTCAGTCTGAAGCAGCCCCATCGCCCGTCTCCTGCAGAAAGCACCTCTCCCGCCTCTGCCTTTGCTTTCACTGCTTTGCACATGGTCTGCGTCCTGCTGCGCGGGCGTTTCCTACCCTGGAACGCGGAGTGTGGCCAGTAGAGGGCGGGGCCTCCGGAGGTGACCCAGTAGCCTGCAGCCCTTTGGGAAATACAAGTGACCTTTGCAGGCAGCACTGTTTAGAAGGACGTGGGGTTAAGCTGGGATCTGAGCGGTCCAGCTTTGCTGTCTGGCCCTGGGGTGCCGAATCCGTGGTGCCGAGGAGTAGCTGAATCTGCACTCCGCCTCCTCCAGCCAAGACTTTGCACTTGGTGGGCCAGGGGAGCTGCTGTGGAGTGGGGTCCTCAGAGTGCCTACCTCCCCAGTCACCTAATGGTTTCTGACGATGCCTCACGGGCAGGTCCAGTGCGGGGCACGGGGGTGGGGCGTGCAAGGAATATAAGAAGCTGGTTGGGGGGAGAAGGCACGCACATGAAGAGCTAACTACTGGCTCTGAGCATGGTGGGAAGGGCCACGCACAGCTTCAGCGCAGAGGAGATGTGGTCACACTGGTGTCGCAACGTTGTGACAGGAAATTTTTGCTGCTTTTGTGGCAGGAACATGATGAGGGACACAACATGGCGGGGCAGGTCTGCAAGGCAAGACTGCCGCTTGAGCTGACGTTCTTGTGCCATTTATTGAGATCACACAGGCTGGTGAAAGCTGCTCATGTGACAGTGGTATGAGGAGTAGGGTCCAGAGGAGAGGGGGGCAAAGTTTCACAAGGGACAGAGAAGGGCACATGGTGGCCAGGCGTATGATGTGATCCAGGCAGAGTCATCCCCAGACTGCCGTGGAGACAGTCACGTCGTTGGGTCAACAGCGGCCTAGGCATCCGGTCTGCCTGGTCATACGAGCTGTTCTCTTTGGGTAGCTGAGGCATGTTCTGCTGTGGTTTGTGGATAGCAAATAGGTCACAGCTGCCCATTGAGTGGCCGGCTCAGAGGAACCCACACTGGGCCATGAAATAGACCTGGGATTGAGAGAGGCAGAGGGAACCTGAGACTCGGGGGCCAATCACACAGGGGAGGCTGTGGGGAAGACAGAAGTCGGCAGTCAGGGTCCATTTATGGGCCCGGGGGGGGGGGAGAGGATGGGGGACGCTGGGTGTTTGCAAGGAAAGCCAGGCACCAACTGACCTGGTTTGGAAGCAGGAACTCAGGGCAGGAATTTTAGAGTAAAAACACCCTCACCTGTTCTCCCCATTGCTCAGTGAAGAAAGGCCTAAACACAGCAAAAGCAGAAGGGCCCTAACTTGAGGGTGAGGCAGTTCTGCAACAGGGGGAGAAAGTCTTATGGCACAACTTTGCTCCAAGTTATCATCATTTATTCTTTTCTTTCTAGGGTGGATCAGTGGAATTGTGTCCACAGATCAGCACCTATGTTCACGGAATTGAGAGACGAGAGCATGACCGGGGGACTCAGGAGAAGGAGGTGAGAGAAAATTAGCGGTCAACGATGACTTTCAGAAATGGCGGGGAAACCCTTCTCTGCTCTGTGAAAGTAGAGAATTAACACGCTAGCAAAGGCCCACTGTGCTCTGAAATGCTTTGATGCTGGGCAGTCAGTGAGGCCTTCCCATCAAGGAGACGCCCTGGACACAGGCCTGCGGCTCTACTTAATGGGGTTTGGTCATATTGGCCATCTAGCCCTACCCGCGTGTATGTGTGTGACACGCTGTTTTATTAGCGTTTTGAATTTACAATGCCACAGGCTCTACTTCACGCTCTCCCTTCCACTCATCTGGTCTTCGCCCGTAGTTTCGAATCCATGACACAGCACATTCTTCTTGCCCCATCGACCCCTCTTCACAAAGGACTCGCGCTGGAACAACAATTCCCTCTGGCTCTTGGTGACCTTCTGCTCCTTCACTGATGGCAAGGCCTGATGGGATGTCTATTTGTTACTCTTTAATTTTTAGTGCATTTTTGCTTAGGTTTGCTGTTTGAGCCTTTGGCTTTATTTTACAATCTCTTAAGTTTCTTAAGCAGTGGAATTATCAGTAAATGCCCTAGAGAGTCAGAGCAGAAGCCATTCTCAATTCAAAAGACCGATTATCCTGAGGTGCAATTTTCTTGCTCTTTTCTCCCCTCCCTGCCCCCTTCCCTGGACTTGAGGCCCCCAACTCTTCATTTCCCTTCATTGTGTCTCTCAGATATTTATCTTCCCACTCCCACAGCTGCCCCAGATTTAAAGACGGGTCTACCGGCCTCCCCACCTCCTTACTGATACCAAATTAATCTTCTGAAACACCACTACAGCAACACTTCTCTTCTTCAACACTGTTCACAGCTCCCTAGCGGAGAGAAAAATGGACTGACTTAGACCCTTACTGACACAAGGTCAACAGACTACTGATGGCCGCTTGGTACCTATTCAAGTGGAAACCATTTGCAGTTCCTGAAAACTTTAGCGCCCCACAGCTGTGTTCTCTGGTCTTCAGCGCTACCTCATAAAATGGCTTCTTTAATCAACCGTCTTTTGCTTTTGAAAAAGTGTGTGTAGAGCAGAGCAGACAAGGAAACCAGAGAAGAGCAGCACTTAGACGCTGGGGGAGACGGGGTGGTTGCAGGAAGAAGGCGTTCTTCACCCTGTGCTGACTGTTGGCTTTGATTCAGAGGGGGCTGAACTGGTCTGTCTTAAAGAGACAAACAACACTTGCAGGACAGTGGCAATGCCTCTGCAAACATTTATTCTCTCTACTTGTACAGGAGTGAAGGAAAGCCAGTTAAATGTATGTTTGATTCTTGACT